ATGGCGCACGTGAACGACGGTCGGTACGCCAGTACGCCAAGAGAACGAGCCAAAAGAGAGCTCGTAGACAGATTGGTGAGTCTGGAGAAGAGGCAACGTGAGGATGAGACGACCGGGCTGGATGCGGCAGATATCGCTGACTGGGGTCGAGGAGTTCTCCGGGGACAATATCTGCGGGCGTGGCAAAAAGTGATTGCGGCTCAGCCCAGCTGGGTGTGGGAAAACGAAGACGAAACACCGGAGGATGAGAAGTCCGATGCAAGTGATCTGGAGGACATGGAAATTGGGGACGGTGTCCTGCGTGCAGCGAAAGCTGCTTTGGTTCGGTTGTGGCGACATGAGGTTGCAGAGAATGACCCAGAGCTCACTCAACGACAGCTGGGAGGAAGACAGGGCGCCTACCTGCGCGGTTTGGCAAACTTCTCCTGGCGCGATACGTTGGACGAAGCTCGGCGTCGTTTGGGCCTAGTCGCATGGAAGCGGTGGGTGGAACAGGTTCGGATTATGCAAGGTCCGCGCGATCCATAAATGAGTATGGTTGTTCTGGCTCGCTAGCCGGGCAACGGACTTAGTCTTGGGAAAGTTAGGTGCTGCGGAACTGCATGGACGCTGTCTTGCGAAAGTGCGGGGCTGCGGTCACCTCGTGGCCGAGGTGTTGATTCCTCGCAGGGCTGGCTGCGCTTGCTGCGGCAATGATAAAATGCATTTTTTTTTTTTTGCACATGAGTGAAAAACATGTCGCTGTGTTCGAATGTAGTTTCAAGCATTGGGTCGGTGGATTGAGGTACGTGGCAGAAAGCAGCATTCACGTCCTGTGTCGTCGCAAGGGCCTTATCAGCGGGATCGATGCTAGTGTGTGCGGAAGGGGCAGAGGGGGCAGGGGGTGAAAGTTACTGTGCAAGTGTTATGACTCGAGTGCAAACGAGTGTGAGTCGCCATGGACCCGTGCATGTCGAGCTCGTGGTCATGGTATGAAGGTCGTCGTGAGGGCTACGCATCGTTCTCCGACCGATCATGGTTCGCTGAGAAGGGCAAGGACGCAACAGACACATGGTGCCATTCGGAGAAACGCAAGGACGTGAAACCTTCCTGGTGCGGTGCGGAAGAGTCTAAGGGAAAGGCCTCTACCGTGTCGACTTCGCAAGAAAACGATGGCTGGCAGAAGTGGACATGGCAAGATTCGTCGTATTTTGCCGATGGAAACAATGGCTGTGAGGACTCGACATGGCAAGATTCGTCTTGGTGGTCATGGAATGATCCAAAGGAGGCACCCGCTCGACTGAAATCATACGCTGCCGCACACCGGGATACGACTGTCTCCAAGGAGCCGGAGGTTGTGGAGATCAGCAGCGATGATTCCTCAGAAAATTGGGGACAATGGGGACAAAAATGGAGTGGCCCATCAGGTTCGTCCTGGCCTTCAAGGGATTCCTGGTCGCAA